GGTCTTACATAAGTGGTATACAGGGTTCTGAAAGATTCCTTACACAAGTTTCTGAAGGCAGTTCTTATGTTGGCCAGTCTAGCATATGCCGCTGATGATATTCTTTTGATGTGGGCCTCTGGGGACAGGTTCGGTGTGATATCAACCCCCAGATCCTTCTCTCTATTTGACTCTTGCAGGATTTCCCCTCCCAGATGATACCTTGTGTTCAGCCTCCTGCTCCCTTCGCCTAATTTCATCACCTTACACTTTCCCGAGTTGAACTTTAGCAGCCATTTTCTAGACCATTCCTCCAGTTTATCCAGGTCATCCTGTAGTCTCTGTCTATCTTCATCCGTCTTGATTCTTCTCATAATTTTTGCATCATCAGCAAACATCGAGAGGAATGAGTCTATACCCTCTGGAAGATCGTTCACATATATTAGAAACAGGATGGGTCCAAGTACTGAGCCCTGTGGGACTCCGCTGGTGACATCTCGCCACTCTGATGTCTCCCCCCTCACCGTTACTCACTGTTTCCTGTTGCTTAAGTACTCCCTTATCCACTGGAGCACCTTCCCTTTTACTCCTGCCTGTTGCTCCAACTTTTTTAACAGCCTTTTATGGGGTACTGTGTCAAAGGCTTTTTTTGTGTGTGTGTGTGTGTGTGTGTGTGTGTGTGTGTGTGTGTGTGTGTGTGTGTGTGTGTGTGTGTGTGTGTGTGTGTGTGTGTGTGTGTGTGTGTGTGTGTGTGTGTGCGTGTGTGTGTGTGTGTGTGTGTGTGTGTGTGTGTGTGTGTGTGTGTGTGTGTGTGTGTGTGTGTGTGTGTGTGTGTGTGTGTGTGTGCGTGTGTGAGTGTGTGTGTGTGTGTGTGTGTGTGTGTGTGTGTGTGTGTGTGTGTGTGTGTGTGTGTGTGTGTGTGCGTGTGTGAGTGTGTGTGTGTGTGTGTGTGTGTGTGTGTGTGTGTGTGTGTGTGTGTGTGTGTGTGTGTGTGTGTGTGTGTGTGTGTGTGTGCGTGCGTGTGTGTGCGCGTGTGTGCGTGCGTGCGTGCGTGCGCGCGTCCGAATGTGTGAGTGTAAGTGCGTACACAAGTACGGGAGTGTTATTGAGAGTATGAGCGTGTGGGAGTGTGTAGTGTGAATTAGAGTATGAAAGTGAGAGTGAGTGTATTAGTATGAGAATGAGAGTGCGGAGTGGAGAGTGTGAAGCAGAATGTGACGCAGTGTGTGAGAGTGTGAAGCAGAGTGTGAGAGTGTGAAGCAGAGTGTGAGAGTGTGAAGCAGTGTGTGAGAGTGTGAAGCAGAGTGTGAGAGTGTGAAGCAGTGTGTGAGAGTGTGAAGCAGAGTGTGAGAGTGTGAAGCAGTGTGTGAGAGTGTGAAGCAGAGTGTGAGAGTGTGAAGCAGTGTGTGAAGCAGAGTGTGAGAGTGTGAAGCAGTGTGTGAGAGTGTGAAGCAGAGTGTGAGAGTGTGAAGCAGAGTGTGAGAGTGTGAAGCAGTGTGTGAGAGTGTGAAGCAGAGTGTGAGAGTGTGAAGCAGAGTGTGAGAGTGTGAAGCAGTGTGTGAGAGTGTGAAGCAGTGTGTGAGAGTGTGAAGCAGTGTGTGAAGCAGAGTGTGAGAGTGTGAAGCAGAGTGTGAGAGTGTGGAGCAGAGTGTGAGAGTGTGAAGCAGTGTGTGAGAGTGTGAAGCAGAGTGTGACAGTGTGAAGCAGAGTGAGAGAGTGTGAAGCAGTGTGTGAGAGTGTAAAGCAGTGTGTGAGAGTGTGAAGCAGAGTGAGAGAGTGTGAAGCAGTGTGTGAGAGTGTGAGAGTGTGGAGCAGAGGATGAGAGTGTGAAGCAGTGTGTGAGAGTGTGAAGCAGAGTGTGAGAGTGTGAAGCAGTGTGTGAGAGTGTGAAGCAGAGTGTGACAGTGTGAAGCAGTGTGTGAGAGTGTGAAGCAGAGTGAGAGAGTGTGAAGCAGTGTGTGAGAGTGTGAAGCAGTGTGTGAGAGTGTGAAGCAGAGTGTGAGAGTGTGGAGCAGAGGGTGAGAGTGTGAAGCAGTGTGTGAGAGTGTGAAGCAGAGTGTGAGAGTGTGAAGCAGTGTGTGAGAGTGTGAAGCAGAGTGTGACAGTGTGAAGCAGTGTGTGAGAGTGTGAAGCAGAGTGTGAGTGTGGAGCAGAGTGTGAGAGTGTGAAGCAGAGTGTGAGAGTGTGAAGTAGAGTGTGAGAGTGTGAAGCAGAGTGTGAGAGTGTGAAGCAGAGTGTGAGAGTATGAAGCAGAGTGTGAGAGTGTGAAGTAGAGTGTGAGAGTATGAAGCAGAGTGTGAGAGTGTGAAGCAGTGTGTGAGAGTGTGAAGCAGAGTGTGAGAGTGTGAAGCAGTGTGTGAGAGTGTGAAGCAGAGTGTGAGAGTGTGGAGCAGAGGGTGAGAGTGTGAAGCAGTGTGTGAGAGTGTGAAGCAGAGTGTGAGAGTGTGAAGCAGTGTGTGAGAGTGTGAAGCAGAGTGTGACAATGTGAAGCAGTTTGTGAGAGTGTGAAGCAGAGTGAGAGAGTGTGAAGCAGTGTGTGAGAGTGTGAAGCAGTGTGTGAGAGTGTGAAGCAGAGTGTGAGAGTGTGGAGCAGAGGGTGAGAGTGTGAAGCAGTGTGTGAGAGTGTGAAGCAGAGTGTGAGAGTGTGAAGCAGTGTGTGAGAGTGTGAAGCAGAGTGTGACAGTGTGAAGCAGTGTGTGAGAGTGTGAAGCAGTGTGTGAGAGTGTGAAGCAGAGTGTGAGTGTGGAGCCGAGTGTGAGAGTGTGAAGCAGAGTGTGAGAGTGTGAGAGTGTGAAGTAGAGTGTGAGAGTGTGAAGCAGAGTGTGAGAGTGTGAAGCAGAGTGTGAGAGTATGAAGCAGAGTGTGAGAGTGTGAAGTAGAGTGTGAGAGTATGAAGCAGAGTGTGAGAGTGTGAAGCAGAGTGTGAAGCAGAGTGTGAGAGTGTGAAGCAGTGTGTGAGAGTGTGAAGTAGAGTGTGAGAGTGTGAAGCAGTGTGTGAGAGTGTGAAGCAGTGTGTGAGAGTGTGAAGCAGTGTGAGAGTGTGAAGCAGAGTGTGAGAGTGTGAAGCAGTGTGTGAGAGTGTGAAGCAGTGTGTGAGAGTGTGAAGCAGTGTGAGAGTGTGAAGCAGTGTGTGAGAGTGTGAAGCAGAGTGTGAGAGTGTGGAGCAGAGTTTGAAGCAGACTGTGAAGCACAGTGTGAAGCAGTGTGTGAGAGTGTGAAGCAGTGTGTGAGAGTGTGAAGCAGTGTGTGAGAGTGTAAAGCAGAGTGTGAGAGTGTGGAGCAGAGTTTGAAGCAGACTGTGAAGCACAGTGTGAAGCAGATTGCGAGAGGGTGAAGCAGTGTGTTAGAGTGTGAAACAGAATGTGAAGCAAATTTTCTAAAGAGTTCATTTGTTGTGGTGTTGAACAGTGTCATCATGAGGACTGGAGCCACAGATATACACAATCCTACCGTGGTGGTGTTGCAGCCCGTCCTCCAAAAATGGGGTGGTAAATGTAAGGAGACAAATAAATTGCAATTATGTACTATTCATAGCAGTTAGGAAGTGTACTTATGTATTAAATCGTAGTCAAATATATTGTGAATATTTGAGTTTACCTGAAAAACTGAATAGAAAACCACAACCTAACCTAGCCTTCTCAGTGTTTGAAGATAAGCATTTTATTGCTTCTTAATTACAATTAGTACTTAACCTATAGCTATATTGATATTACAGTTTTAAAAAACTAATAAAACAAAACTAAAATATATCAATAAATTATAAAGTAACTCAAGATATTTTTAAATGTTGTATAAAATCTATATTGTTTAATAAACCTGAAAAAGAAATTCTTGATATTTAAAACATGTGTACAGCAACTTGAAATTGATAATTTCATCCTAAACTTCTGAGTGTCTTAATAGAAAACGAGGAGAATTAAGTCGGGGGAGGGAGTTTGGTAAATGTAACAGCCCCATAAGTGTAATTATGCACTGTTTATGGCAGTAAGACAATATACTTATTACACTTGGTATTAAATCGTACTGCCAATTCAGAGGATGGGTTGGGTGTTGATAAGCCTGGTGTTGACCCCGAGAGAGATTCACTCACCAAGAGAAAGCACTACGCCAGTATGACTATATTACGTGTTTTGTGTGTGTATGTATATATATATATATATATATATATATATATATATATATATATATATATATATATATATATATATATGTATATGTATATGTATATGTATATGTATATGTATATATATATATATATATATATATATATATATATATATATATATATATATATATATATATATATCAGCTCGTGAATAGCTTAGTATGCTCCTGAAAGGTCCCAAAAATCTCCCATTCATACACTTCCAAGGATACAAGACCTTACTTACAAGAAACACTTCTCACACTCCACACAGAACAGAGACATTAATAAATGGACGAATCCTAAGTATCTTTATAGCCTGATACTTATAATCGAGAGATAACTCATATATCTTTATTCGTTAGTACTTAAATACGCTATGACTCAGTTATGCACTCACTTAATATAACTGGGTCATAAGAGACTACATAGAGGTGACTGGGGAGCGAGACACTGAATATGTAACACAGCTGTTCGTCTGGGGTTAGTGCAAGCTATAGGGCAAGCAAGTAAGTAAGAACTTGAGCAGGTATTTCAGTATAAACAGAGACCCCAGGCTCGTCCATGTTCTGCTCGGCTTTCCAAGCTAAGATGTGTAGTGCAGAAGAACTGTGTCGAAAACATGCGAATCACCTACCGCAACATAGCGAAATATTAACCAACTACCAGCAACATAGCGAAATATGAATCAATTACCGCAACATAGGGAAATATGAATCAATTACCGCAACATAGGGAAATCTAACTGTCGTATGATACATCATTATTATAATTTTTTGGGTTATAATTGTCCTCTTAGACAAGCAGTTTCTCTGAATTCTGACTAGCCTGAGATGTCTGTGCTGGCGACCATCTTGTTCCCTTCCTACCTATTTACCTGTGGCGCCCTGGGTGCTGGGGGGCGTCGGCCCCAAGGAGACATCTCCACTTGAAGGTTGGTGGAAAACCTGGAAGGTGGGCTTGTAAGTCCATTTCCCTTGAGAAATGTCTTGGATTCCTCATGAGGGTCTGTGTGGATGGGCTTGACCTGAATCACTTCGAAAGGAAGGCCTGGGGAAGCGTGTCGAGCCTTCTCCTGCAAGATAGGTAAGATCAGGTCTCCCCGTGGAATGGGGTACAGAGGCGAATTGACTTTAGAGGCATCAACGACAGGCCGCGAGACTATGACTTCGTCTTGTGAAGGGTTGGAGAAGGAATCCTCATCCCACATACGCTTGGGGGACGGCCGGCTGGCCTGGGAGACTCCGCCAAGTCTCGCCGCTCTGGTGTCCTCTTCATTCGTCACAAGAAAATCGAGGGGTCGACGCCGGAACTCTGGCGTGTTGGAGCGGGACATGAAGTCGTGCAGGTGGATGGTCTCAGAGTAGCGACGGGCGTCCCACTTCTCGGGTCTCCCGTAACTGGCTTCCGAGGCCTGGCTGATGCCTCGACCCCTCGACTTGACCTCTGATGAGCGACTGACGGCGGATCCTCGCCTTCTGGACGTTGTCTGCGAGGAATGACAGTCTGCAGAGCCTTGACCTCGCGACGTGATCTCTGCAGAGTGACTGATGCAGGAGATTCGATCCCCAGACTTGATCTCTGGAGACTGACTGACAGACGAGCTTCTACCTCTGGCTTCGACTTTTGGAGACTGGCTGCTAGTGGAACCTCGACCCTTAGACTTGACCCCCGAGGAGTGGCTGCCGGAGGAACTCCAATCTCTGTACTTGTCCTCGGAGGAACAGCTGACAGCTGAATCACGACCATTGGACTTGACGGCCCGGAAGCGTCTGACAACGGAACCATAACCGCTTGACCTGACCTCTGGGCGGCGAATGGAAGAAGAAGCGGGGCTGTGGTTCTGGGCCGACGGAGAAGTATCCACACCAGAGTCATCATGACTCACTGACTGACGAGTCGGTGACTGGTTGATGGTGATGTTACTCCCGCCAGGTTTGGCATGTATGGAGTGACCGGTGGCACTGGCACTGACACTCTGGCACTCAACACCCGCAGTGTGACCAGCCAGCTGCACTGCCAGCGGCGGCTTGTCAGCACCGTCGCCACTGGCCACCGTGCTGGCGGGAGAGACACTCGCGGTGACACAGTCCAGCTGAGAGTTACGAAACTGTTCTCTGTGGGCGGCACCGGCGCGGGCGGCCTTCAGGTGGGCGTCGTCGACGATAAGGTGCGTTTCGGGAAATACCAAGGGGTCACTCAGCTCCTGCAGGTGGGCGGTGGCAGGGCGGTCACTCAGCTGCTGAAGGCGGGCGGTGGCAGGACGGTCACTCAGCTCCTGAAGGTACTTGCGGTACATGTCCGGGTGGGCGCCCTCACTCCACCACTCCGCCCCACCACCCCGCCCACGTCCCGCCCACTCTCACCTCCATCGCTATGTCCGCCGGACCGGCCACACCGCACTGTCTTCCACTCTGGCACTCTTAAGACGGACGTGCTTCCTGTACATTATTTTCTCTCAGTTCACTCTGAGGCGGAGAGGGCCAGAGTGGTGGCCCGAGACCCACACGCATTCACTCAGTGGTGATGAGTTGTTGCCGGTGTCACTCGGGTGCTGCCACTGTCACTCGGGTGCTGCCACTGTCACTCGGGTGCTGCCACTGTCACTCGGGTGCTGCCACCGTCACTCGGGTGCTTCCACTGTGACTCGGGTGCTGCCACCGTCACTCGGGTGCTGCCACCGTCACTCGGGTGCTGCCACCGTCACTCGGGTGCTGCCACCGTCACTCGGGTGCTGCCACCGTCACTCGGGTGCTGGCTGGCACTGCCACTCCTGAAGTGGCTCCAGCTACCACACACTCACCACCAGAGTGCTGCGGAATGTCGTAACCTTAAGAGTGCACACGCGGGTGAGGGAGGTGCACACGGGAGTACACACACTGCTGGGGCATGTGCACACACACACACACATGTGGGTGAGGAAGGCGGACACCGGAGCACACGAGAGCCTGGCGTTGCTCCGCCGGACTAACGCAGGTGAGGACCCTAGAGGGTGGCGGTGGCTGGCAGTCGGGTGTGGACGGGCCTCTGGTCGCTGCCTCACTGAACGCTCCCTAACTTTCAGTGTAGACCACCACACCCTCTCCCCTCTGGCCTCTCCCCTCCCTGGCCACTTCCCCTCAGGGGGTCACCCTTCCCCCCTCAGGGGTCACCCTTTCCCCCTCAGGGCTACCCCCTCCTTGTCCACCTGCTACTGGATAAACAATGCCTTGTCTCACTAACATAACAAAGAGTCACTCCCTGAGGCAATTCCCCTCCGGACGGCCGCTGCTTCTAGCATTTTCCACACCTGGCCAGCCTTCCCCTCGGCCACTACCCTTCCCCACCACTCCCCCCCTCTCAACTGACAACTCCCCTCACACACACACACACACACACACACACACTCTCTCTCTCTCTCTCTCTCTCTCTCTCTCTCTCTCTCTCTCTCTCTCTCTCTCTCTCTCTCTCTCTCTCTCTCTCTCTCTCTCTCTCTCTCTCTCTCTCTCTCTCTCTCCCCAGGCCATTAGTCAGCATAGCCCCCCTGCCCTACCCGGGCCATTCTCCACCTATTAGCTACAATACTGTAGGTGGCCACCCCATTTCCTTCAACAAGTGGCCACTCCACACTGGCCGCTGGTGTAGGGGTCACCTGCGCCTCTAGGCCAGTAGGTCACACGTCTAGGGATACATTTTCTGTGGGGAGGGGACGAGATATCTTTTCTATGGGTGACGAGGTAACTTTACTCGGGAGTGTGAGATATCTATTCAGGGGGGGTTTTCTGCAGTTAAGAACAGTCGGTACATATGTGGATATTTCAAACTATTATCGGGGCTCTTGGAGGCTCGAATCCTGGACCCCCATCCAACGCGTGTGACCCCGAAAGCGCCATATCGACCGAGCTATTGAGCAGCCTTAATAAGGAAAGTTTCCAGAAGCAGCATCATGCTGCCAAACTGGAATTTTGTTGTTATTGTTGTTGTTATTTTCCACGGAAGTGTGGATGACAATTTATAAAAACATTACTTTGTGGCGTCATATATATATATGTCGTACCTAGTAGCCAGAACGCACTTCTCAGCCTACTATGCAAGGCCCGATTTGCCTAATAAGCCAAGTTTTCTTGAATTAATTGTTTTTCGACTACCTAACCTACCTAACCTAACCTAACTTTTTCGGCTACCTAGCCCAACCTAACCTATAAAGATAGGTTAGGTTAGGTTAGGTAGGGTTGGTTAGGTTCGGTCATATATCTACGTTAAATTTAACTCCAATAACAAAAAATTGACCTCATACATAATGAAATGGGTAGCTTTATCATTTCATAAGAAAAAAATTAGAAAACATTTATTAATTCAGGAAAACTTGTCTTATTAGGCAAATCGGGCCTTGCATAGTAGGCCAAAAAGTGAGTTCTGGCTACTAGGTACGACATATATATATATATATATATATATATATATATATATATATATATATATATATATATATATATATATTAACGTTTTCTTCTTCCCTGGCAAAGAAAATGGGATATTAGATCCATTTTTGCTGTTGGCCAACAAAATGCGCGCCATAATAATAATAATAATAATAATACTTCATTGTGTCAGGGGGACAGGAAGCCTGAGTGTATTCATGCACGTTTGGCTTTTATCGAGGTGCCCCCCTCCCCCCCCCCAGGTCAAATTACTGACCCCCCAGGACACAACCCCCCTACAACAAGCTGACTATAACTCCTCAGTACCTGCTTCACTGCTAGGCGAACAGATGCATCAGATGAAAGGAAATGTGCACAACCATTTTTGTCGCGCCCAGGATTCGAACCCGGGATTCTTTATTGTGCGTCAAGAACGAACCCGACTGTGCTACCGGGACCCTTAACTAGCTCACCATATATGTAACTAGCTCACCATATATGTAACTAGCTCACCATATATGTAACTAGCTCACCATATATGTAACTAGCTCACCATATATGTAACTAGCTCACCATATATGTAACTAGCTCACCATATATGTAACTAGCTCACGATATATGTAACTAGCTCACCATATATGTAACTAGCACACCATATATGTAACTAGCTCACCATATATGTAACTAGCTCACCATATATGTAACTAGCACACCATATATGTAACTAGCTCACCATATATGTAACTAGCTCACCATATATGTAACTAGCACACTAGTTCATATATGTAACTAGCACACCATATATGTAACTAGCTCACCATATATGTAACTAGCTCACCATATATGTAACTAGCTCACCATATATGTAACTAGCTCACCATATATGTAACTAGCTCACCATATATGTAACTAGCTCACCATATATGTAACTAGCTCACCATATATGTAACTAGCTCACCATATATGTAACTAGCTCACCATATATGTAACTAGCTCACCATATATGTAACTAGCTCACCATATATGTAACTAGCTCACCATATATGTAACTAGCTCACCATATATGTAACTAGCTCACCATATATGTAACTAGCTCACCATATATGTAACTAGCTCACCATATATGTAACTAGCTCACCATATATGTAACTAGCTCACCATATATGTAACTAGCTCACCATATATGTAACTAGCTCACCATATATGTAACTAGCTCACCATATATGTAACTAGCTCACGATATATGTAACTAGCTCACCATATATGTAACTACCATATATGTAACTCACCATATATGTAACTAGCTCACCATATATGTAACTAGCTCACCATATATGTAACTAGCTCACCATATATGTAACTAGCTCACCATATATGTAACTAGCTCACCATATATGTAACTAGCTCACCATATATGTAACTAGCTCACCATATATGTAACTAGCTCACCATATATGTAACTAGCTCACCATATATGTAACTAGCTCACCATATATGTAACTAGCTCACCATATATGTAACTAGCTCACCATATATGTAACTAGCTCACCATATATGTAACTAGCTCACCATATATGTAACTAGCTCACCATATATGTAACTAGCTCACCATATATGTAACTAGCACACCATATATGTAACTAGCTCACCATATATGTAACTAGCTCACCATATATGTAACTAGAACACCATATATGTAACTAGAACACCATATATGTAACTAGTTCACCATATATGTAACTAGCTCACCATATATGTAACTAGCTCACCATATATGTAACTAGCTCACCATATATGTAACTAGAACACCATATATGTAACTAGCACACCATATATGTAACTAGCTCACCATATATGTAATTAGCTCACCATATATGTAACTAGCTCACCATATATGTAACTAGCTCACCATATATGTAGTTAGCTCACCATATATGTAACTAGCTCACCATATATGTAACTAGCTCACCATATATGTAACTAGCTCACCATATATGTAACTAGCACACCATATATGTAACTAGCTCACCATATATGTAACTAGCTCACCATATATGTAACTAGCTCACCATATATGTAACTAGCTCACCATATATGTAACTAGCTCACCATATATGTAACTAGCTCACCATATATGTAACTAGCTCACCATATATGTAACTTGCACACCATATATGTAACTAACTCACCATATATGTAACTAGCTCACCATATATGTGACTAGTTCACCATATATGTAACTAGTTCACCATATATGTAACTAGCTCACCATATATGTAACTAGCTCACCATATATGTAACTAGCTCACCATATATGTAACTAGCTCACCATATATGTAACTAGCTCACCATATATGTAACTAGCTCACCATATATGTAACTAGCTCACCATATATGTAACTAGCTCACCATATATGTAAGTAACTCACCATATATGTAACTAGCTCACCATATATGTAACTAGCTCACCATATATGTAACTAGTTCACCATAAACCTCAAACATTTAACTATTAGGAGTATTGTGGGTCCTTGACCTGAAGCCATCATGTAAGTGGACCCCGCGGGCGCCGCCCACAGGATGGATATTGGCTCCATAATTAGACTAATTAAACAGAGTCCCCGATGGCAGCCTTGGCAAACCGACCCCCCTCTGCCTCTAGCAGTAGTACCAACCCTACCGTAATACTCGTTACCACATCCCACCTACCATGTTCATATTATCCCCCCCCCCCTACCACCACTACCATACCCCCTCCCTCCTTCACCACAACCCTCCCCCCCCCCCACTCCACTCCCTCCTCAACCTGCCACTCGCGGGTATCGAGCGGGTGCTGGGGCAGCCGTGGAGGATCCGAGTAGCACTTACAGCTAAGGATGCCAGGGTGGCCATATAGTATGGTCCGCCCTGGCTGGTGCTGTGGTTATGGCTGGTGCTGTGGTTATGGCTGGTACTGTGGTTATGGCTGGTACTGTGGTTATGGCTGGTGCTGTGGTTATGGCTGGTACTGTGGTTATGGCTGGTACTGTGGTTATGGCTGGTACTGTGGTTATGGCTGGTACTGTGGTTATGGCTGGTGCTGTGGTTATGGCTGGTGCTGTGGTTATGGCTGGTGCTGTGGTTGTGGCTGGTGCTGTGGTTATTGCTGGTACTGTGGTTATGGTTGGTACTGTGGTTATGGCTGGTGCTGTGGTTATGGCTGGTACTGTGGTTATGGCTGGTACTGTGGTTATGGTTGGTGGTGTGGTTATGGTTGGTACTGTGGTTATGGCTGGTACTGTGGTTATGGCTGGTGCTGTGGTTATGGCTGGTGCTGTGGTTATGGCTGGTACTGTGGTTATGGCTGGTACTGTGGTTATGGCTGGTACTGTGGTTATGGCTGGTACTGTGGTTATGGCTGGTACTGTGGTTATGGCTGGTACTGTGGTTATGGCTGGTGCTGTGGTTATGGCTGGTGCTGTGGTTATGGTTGGTGGTGTGGTTATGGCTGGTACTGTGGTTATGGCTGGTACTGTGGTTATTGCTGGTACTGTGGTTATGGTTGGTACTGTGGTTATGGCTGGTACTGTGGTTATGGCTGGTACTGTGGTTATGGCTGGTACTGTGGTTATGGCTGGTACTATAGTTCAACCCGTTCTCGCAAATTCGTATAGTC